TGATTAAATAGCTAAGTCATGTTTGTTTTATTAAAGATGTATGATTAATTATATTTAAAATACACAATAAAAAAATTGCAAGACTGCACCACTGTGTCAATCAAGCTATCAAGCTGTTGTGTTTGTGCATGATCAAATTCTTTTGTGCTCCCATCTTTCTTTGCTTATATATAATCTATTGGTTCTCTCTTTACTGGTCAAATGATGCCAAATTGGGTAATGGGGTATTAGCAAATATCAGAATCTGATTATTCTTTAAAAAGATAATCAAGGTATTGGCATACTGATAAGTTAATAATATTCTTATCATATTGTCTAAAAGCCTACTAGTAAATGTTGATATTCTTTTAAAATTAATACTATTTTTTAGTTAATTTAATAAACCAATAACTCTTTTATATTGTAATTAAATTATTGGTTAAATATTTCTAAAGCTCTTTGTGCTAAAATAATATCATAATTTTGAGCAGCAGTTAGGTTTCTATTCAAATAAAGTTTACTGAATAAAACAAACAATTTGAGTAAAAAAATAATTTGAGCAAAAACGAATAAAACAAATAAAACAAATAAAACAAATAAATTAATTAATAAAATGAATAAAAATGAATAAAACAAATAAAAATGTATAAAACAAATAAAACAAATAAAAATGTATAAAACGAATAAGCGTACAGCCAGAACTTGTTAAAACAATGCTTTGATAAACTGAATATACATGATAAGCCGATGTTGTTTTATTATCTATCTATCAAATTTACCTCAATAAGCCAATATTATTGAGGTTTTTTAAATTGAAGTTTTTTTTTTTTTTGAAAATATTGACTTCAGTTTAATGAGTTCTGACTGTATTATGAATAGAAACCATGCATTAATACCAAAATCAAAAAACAACAACAAACAAACAAACAAATAGCTTTTATTGCGAAATAATTAATTTTGTTCCTTTATTGAATCAATCACACAAGAGTGGTCAATTTAAACAGCATTGTTTTTAAAGAAAATAATATTATTAAATGTATAAAGTTTAATGATTTTTAATGTTGCAAATTTTTTTGATGTCAATCTCAAAATCAATCATGTTTATATACTTTAAAGTTTCTTTATTTCTTTTTTTGATAAATAATAAATTTATCCTTTGTTTATTTATTTTAGTAGATTCAAATAGATTTTATTAAATCAAATGGTACACTACAGCAAAGTCAAGAAAACCCGAGTGTATCAATTACACAAAAACACACTATTAAGTTAATTTATTACAAAGTCACTTTTAAAGTACAACGAATTCTTGTCCTTATATACATGTTTAATTAATTAATGTCCCAGTCTGGGCGAATTGTCCCATTTGGGATTATTGCCATTAATTCCTTCTAAATAAATAATACAAAATATCAAAATAATTTAATAAATATACGGAATGTAACACGAATACAGATATTTTAATATATATAAACAAGTTTTTAAACGAAAATGTGACAGTGAGCTTCATGCCTTTTACTCACACAATGACATCACTCAGGTCAAGACAATAGTCTATTTTATTAATTCAAAAAAATATAAATATGATGGCCGTCCCCACATTTTTGTTTTGTTTTTTCGTAGAGAATTTCCTCTCAAGCAAGGATGTAAGACATTCGATTATAAATTTTTTTTTTTTTTACTATGTAAAATTCGAATTTTACTATCATCTACTATTACTATAGATCAGTAATTTTTTTCAATTGCTTTTTTTTTTATAAACTAGAAATTGCTATTGCAGGCAACTCTGTTGCCACTACCATATATATTATTAATATTAATTGACAATCCGTGAATGAATGAGAGAATTTTTGTGTGATTGGTGGGGCAAAAATGTAAAAAAATCACCAATCAATAATGTTTAACAA